GCAGTCACGGCACCCTTTAAAAGTATGCAAAATCGTGGGGTACCTCAGTCTAAAAGTTTAGATTTTAAAGGGGAACCCATGCAAAAGCACCCTTCAATTCAAGATCCCCACCTTCACATCAGGAGCCCCCTTCACCTCAGTCTTCATTTCCCTTCACATCAGTTTCACTACCACAGCATTTGGAGGCACCCCAGAGGAAGCCAGGAGGCACAGCGGGATGCATGGCACCTAAAGGGTCACCGTTGTGTTATTATTATTATTTAAGCTGCTCATATACTACTCCTGAATCGGATACAATTTGGACTGTGGGTGGCCCTGCTAGAACTACCCGGCTCGGCGGAGATCAGATTTTTCAAATCGACTTTTGTCAAAGGAACTTTGTGAAAAATTGTCAGCCGAACAGTCACTGCAATCAATCAGATGAAGTCGCTGTTTGAGTATTCAGCTATCTGCAGGTCCCACCGGCTGCTGATACAATAGCCAGCAGGGGAGATTCCTTTGCCACTGTTTAGCATGGATAAGGGAATCGGCTGATCTCTCTAAGGCCTGGTTCACACCTGGGCGTTTTACAGCGCGTTCCTACGCTCTGTAAAACGCTCAACATGTGAAAACCAATGATTGCCTATGGGCATGGTTCCCACCTGGGCGTTTTACAGCGCGTAGGAACGCGCTGCAAAATGCCCTACGCCCAAAGAAGTACAGAAGCTTCTTTGGGGCGTATTTGCCACGCGTATCCATTGGGATACAGCCAGGTGGCCCTCGGAAACGCGCGTTTGTCGCATGTTTTTTTTACCGCGAATCGCGGTAAAAACGCTCGTATTCGATGCGCCTAGGTGTGAACCCAGTCTAAAGGTGTATGACCAGCTTTACTGTTTGGCTGATGTTGGAGAACATTCACTACACTTGCGATGCCGTGACAGGAGACATGGCTCTCCAACACAGAAGCCACACTTACACAACATCAGGGAGAGGGAGGGGGGGCATGAGGGGTAATGAAGAGGATGCCAAAGCTGCGGCACTGCTGGTTAGTTTCATTCATTCCGGGTATTACACAACATCAGGGGGAAGGGGACAAGACCGGTGAATAAGAGTGGTCACACAGTGGACCACTGCCATTGTTTATTCTCTATCTAGCAGTAAGGCTTTAAGCTGCGAGTAAACCAGCAGTGGGTAAACTTCAACCCTTCAGCTGTGCTTTAACTACAAGTCCCAGCATGTCTCTGGTAGTCATGCCATGCCTCATGGGAAATGTAGTTCCACAACAGCTGGAGGGCCAGAGATGCTCACGCCTGCAGCAGACCAACATCAACCTGATCACATGACATTTCTTTTTCAATTACTATACAGTGGAGAGGAGTTACAACCTGTCGGGCTTCTCTGGCTATCCCTTTCCTTCCTGGGGAGATTCGCCCTCTATATCTGCTCTGGCGGCCATTGTTACATGGGACATGCAAAATGTTACATCTGTCACCAGAAGAGGATTACGGGGGAAATCTTCCACACTTGTTCCAGAGAGAACGGTGGAAAGCTCACCATACACAGCACAATCCGAATATAAAACCTCAGTGAACATTTATTGGGGCATACCTAAACCACCCTTCCTTTGGAGAGATCTCCTCACACTTCCTGTTTTGTCTAAATAAGAAAGAAAATCTCCCCAATAAAAAAATACACAAAAGCAAAAAAAAAAAAGGAAACCCCCCACACACACACCGAACAGGGTTGTAACCATTTCCTATGGTATCCAAACTAAAGAAGAAACAGATTTGTCTTTAGATATACATTAACCCCTTCAGTGTACGTCGCCAGCATCAGGGCTGTATAAACAGACGCCCAGCGGCAAACTCTGCTTAAACTTGTAAAGCCGACTCAGCTGTCGCCAGATCGCTTCTACAGCCCGGTGAAGGGGTGCCCCCCCCACTGTGCTTCCCGGGCTCCGTTGCCCCTCCAACGGGGCCGGGACCGGCTTCTTTGGTGTCGGCGGGGAGGAGATGGACAATGCTCCGTTTCGTCGATCCCCTCCCCGTTAGCCGTCAGTGCCGGGCTCCTGAAGTCCAGCTATAAGCTATTGAAGTGCGATCTGCAATAGCTTATTTGGAGTGTAAAAGGTGACACTGGGGGTCTTTTGGACCCCCAGCATCACCTTAAGGCCTGGTTCACACCTGTACGTTTTGTAGCGCGTTCAACGCTCTACGAATGCTCAAACATGAAAATCCCATTGTTTTCTATGGGTATGGTTCACACCTTGCCGTATTTCAGCCCGTCTGAACGCGCTACAAAACGGCCTACGCCTGAAAAAGGTACATGAGCTTCTTTGCAGCGTTTTTGTCGCGCGTTTCCATTGGGATACAGCCAAGTAGCCCTTGGAAACGCACGTTTGTCGCGCGTTTTTTACCGCAAATCGCGGTAAAAACGTGCGTCAAGAAACGCCCAGGGGTGAACAGAGCCTAAAGAGTACCTGTCACCAGCATCTGCTATCACGTGTGGGGCTTGTAAGCCGCCCTATGTGCTAGCAATCAAATGAAAGTTAAAAAAAAGTTTTCAAAAGTAAAATGAAATTAAAAAAAAAGTTTTAAAGTCCCCCGCGAGTACGCGCGTCACCACGTAAACACGCGTCGGGTGCGCCTACGTATGAAAACGACGAACGCGCTATACATGTTGGGTATCGCCGCCGGAGTGAGAGCAATAATTTGAGGGCATCTCTAAATTGATGACCTGTGGGGGCTTTTAAAGAGTCATCCATGGACTTATGAGTGTACTGAGGTTTGTCGCCGTTTCACAGACGCACACAATTTTTAACCTGGGCATGTTGGGTATCTATTTACTCGTTGTAACCTCATCTTTTATATTTTATTTTAAAAATAGGTACTTTACTGTGTTTTGGGGCATTTAAGTAAATTTTTCACGAAATTTTGGAGTTTGATAAGGAGTTGTGCAAATATCGTGCAACATAAAAATTTGCAACTGCCACCATTTCATTCTATAGGGTCTTGGCATTCACGGTGCAGATAAATTTCATTCAGATAGTCATAACAATGAAAAAAGGTATTCACAAACTCTTTTGCTTTCTTTCCATAAAAATACCCTGCCTGCTCCTGGATTGAATAGGCCGGCTCATGAACTCCATATTAATTTGGCCATCCTGGATAAGATTCTCAGGCTGTGGTAGGACTACTACTCCCAGCATGCCCTCCAGGCTGAGGTTTCTGATGTCCAACAGCTGGCCAGGCACAGGTTGCCCGCCTTCCTAATGACTGATTGCTATAGAAGAAGGATTCCTCTGAACAGACATCGGGACTGACAGAGAAGAGGTCTATGGAGGGATCGGGTGACAACGGGCTCCGCGGAACAGAATTCCAGCTTTTTATTACATTCAGGAGATGAAACATCCGTTCCAATGACACACAATGATGTCCACCAACCTCACTCATCCTATTTATCCTGGAGGATCCCGAGAAATTATTCAGAGGACTCCGGGAACTCCTGGTGACCTCTATGGGAGCCCTGCTGGAGAAAGGCTGATGTTTGTTTATATGACAGATCCGTATCTGGCTGTGTATGGTGGGCAACTCAGGCAAGCTGTGAGCTCAGACCAGTCCCTGTATACACAGCACAGGGGCCTCATGTACAGTCAGTTTTGTCTCTGCATGGCCAGCACAGGGGCCCCATGCACAGACAGTCCTGTCTCTGTATACACAGCACAGGGGCCTCATGTACAGTCAGTTCTGTCTCTGTATACACAACACAGGGGCCTCATGTACAGTCAGTCCTGTCTCTGTATACACAGCACAGGGGCCCCATGCACAGACAGTCCTGTCTCTGCATGGCCAGCACAGGGGCCCCATGCACAGTCAGTCCTGTCTCTGCAAGGCAAGCACAGGGGCCCCATGCACAGTCAGTCCTGTCTCTGCAAGGCAAGCACAGGGGCCCCATGCACAGTCAGTCCTGTCTCTGCATGGCCAGCACAGGGGCCCCATGCACAGACAGTCCTGTCTCTGTATACACAGCACAGGGGCCTCATGTACAGTCAGTTCTGTCTCTGTATACACAACACAGGGGCCTCATGTACAGTCAGTCCTGTCTCTGTATACACAGCACAGGGGCCCCATGCACAGACAGTCCTGTCTCTGCATGGCCAGCACAGGGGCCCCATGCACAGTCAGTCCTGTCTCTGCAAGGCAAGCACAGGGGCCCCATGCACAGTCAGTCCTGTCTCTGCAAGGCAAGCACAGGGGCCCCATGCACAGTCAGTCCTGTCTCTGCATGGCCAGCACAGGGGCCCCATGCACAGACAGTCCTGTCTCTGTATACACAGCACAGGGGCCTCATGTACAGTCAGTTCTGTCTCTGTATACACAACACAGGGGCCTCATGTACAGTCAGTCCTGTCTCTGTATACACAGCACAGGGGCCCCATGCACAGACAGTCCTGTCTCTGCATGGCCAGCACAGGGGCCCCATGCACAGTCAGTCCTGTCTCTGCAAGGCAAGCACAGGGGCCCCATGCACAGTCAGTCCTGTCTCTGCATGGCCAGCACAGGGGCCCCATGCACAGACAGTCCTGTCTCTGCATGGCCAGCACAGGGGCCCCATGCACAGACAGTCCTGTCTCTGCATGGCCAGCACAGGGGCCCCATGCACAGACAGTCCTGTCTCTGTATACACAACACAGGGGCCCCATGCAGTCAGTCCTGTCTCTGTATACACAACACAGGGGCCCCATGCACAGTCAATCCTGTCCCTGTATGGCCAGCACAGGGGCCCCATGCACTGTCAGTCCAGGGGCTCCATGCAATCAGTCCTCTCTCTGTATACACAACACAGGGGCCCCATGCACAGTCAGTCCTCTCTCTGTATGGCCAGCAGACACCACAGTCAGCTGTAGTCCCGGCAGAGTCCCTGTACTGTGTATATGAACAGTCAAGCAGTGACAGGAGTCCCGCTGTCAGGCACGCTCGGCTCTGCTGTCCTCCTCTACACAGCTGTCAGTGAGGACTCACCCGGGACATCGTCAGGTCGGTCATGAGTTCGTCGAAGGCTCGGGTCTCCTCGGCCTGCTTCTGGTTATGTAGAGCGATCTTCTCGCTGAACTTCCGCGGATTGGTGCCGCTGGAGGCCTGTGACGCCATGTCGGACAGGCCTCGGACTATCGCGGAGAACAGGAAAGAAAGTCCGGGGACTCTCGGTCGTGACAGTCCCTCAGGGGACCGGCGGCTCCGGCTCAGCCTGTCATGGTGCCCCCTTCCGGAGACGATCAGAAGAGGCTCGGCCAGCTGCCGGAGGGAGGATGATGAGAGGCCATCCGGGAGGGGCTGATCCTAACGAGCAACACAGCGCGAACACCCTCCTCCTCCTCCTTCCTCTCCTTCCGGTGCCGATGTCAACAAACTTCCCCGCAAACTGCACAATGTCCGCCGGATCCCGACTCAGTGCCGCTTCCTGACAACAGGTCTAGCCAAGTGACGGACCGTCACCGCTGCTCCGCCCCCTTCAGATACACTGACACCCTCTTACTGGGCTATCCAGCCTCCGTCATCCACCCATTCAGACCCCGCCTCCGGACCGCCCTCCTGTCCCTCTTCAACCTATTAGAGATCTTCGCGCTGCACCGCCCACAGAGCGCGCGCACGAAGTTTCCTAGTAGGAAAGGAATAGGGCGGCTGTGGTGACCCGAGTGCTCGCTCCGCCCGATCATTTCTGGGGGGCTGTAATGTGTCGCCCGAGTCACTGTGGAGACAAACACCCCATTTACTGAGTTCACTCAACATTCACTGTGGGACATGAGCAGTTTACTAAAGTGTACATAACGCCACATGTTTTAGATTGGGATACAGCACACAAGGGTTCAATCTCCCGCCAAATTCATTTTGTTGCCTGTGTACCAATGGGGAAACCTCCCTTCACTTCCTGTCCCAGAGATACAACAGGAAGCGAGAGGAAATCTCCAAACGTGAGGGGAATTCTCTTCTTGGTCCCCAGTGGAAGATTTCCCCTCACTTTTTGTTTTTGGGATGACGGTCTCCATTCACACATAGGCGTTTAGAATTTAGTTTGTTTTATGTGCGCTAAAAAGCTTGGTTTTCTGCGCACGTTAAAATTAGTTTTGAATAGATGTGCGGTTTTGCGGGTACACTACAGTCTTGGGCACAGAACGCACTTAAATGTGCCAAAGAAAAAACGCAAAAGTACTTTTTCCAGCATTGCGTGTCTATTGCAGGAGCATATGAATGTGCAGGTGTGAACCAACCCATATAGAAATGCATTGCTTTTTATGTGTGCACATTTATGTGCGCACATAACAACGCTTATGTGTGAATGGAAAGTAAGTCCCCTTTAACACTTGAGCTTTTCGTTAACGTGTGACAAACTGTGTGGCAAACACGCTTTGACACACATTCAGGGGAAACATGAAATCGCGTTTGTGGTGCCAATACATATTAATAGCGCCACAAAACGCAGCCAAGGAAACTACTTTCCCGTGTATGTCATGTGTGTAGACCCCCAGTGAATTCACTGGGGATGTGCAGGAAACAAGCGAATGTCGCTGCGGTGTGACAAGAACTAAAATGTTGGTTTTTGCTTCACTTCTTGTTTTGGTGACAACTCTAAAATATTGGCTTTGCCTTCACTTTCTTTGGCCAACAGTACAAATAAAAGGGGTGAATCCCAGATGTCAACGTGACAGCGGAGCACAGCAGGCCAGATGGCAAAGCGGCCCAGGCGCCAGAGCGGCAGCTGAGCACAGCGGCCCAGGCGCCAGAGCGGCAGCTGAGCACAGCGGCCCAGGCGCCAGAGCGGCAGCTGAGCACAGCGGCCCAGGCGCCAGGGCGGCAGCTGAGCACAGCGGCCCAGGCGCCAGAGCGGCAGCTGAGCACAGCGGCCCAGGCGCCAGAGCGGCAGCTGAGCACAGCGGCCCAGGCGCCAGAGCGGCAGCTGAGCACAGCGGCCCAGGCGCCAGAGCGGCAGCTGAGCACAGCGGCCCAGGCGCCAGAGCGGCAGCTGAGCACAGCGGCCCAGGCGCCAGAGCGGCAGCTGAGCACAGCGGCCCAGGCGCCAGAGCGGCAGCTGAGCACAGCGGCCCAGGCGCCAGAGCGGCAGCTGAGCACAGCGGCCCAGGCGCCAGAGCGGCAGCTGAGCACAGCGGCCCAGGCGCCAGAGCGGCAGCTGAGCACAGCGGCCCAGGCGCCAGAGCGGCAGCTGAGCACAGCGGCCCAGGCGCCAGAGCGGCAGCTGAGCACAGCGGCCCAGGCGACGTCAAAGCGGCAGCTGAGCACAGCGGTCAAAGCGGCAGCTGAGCACAGCGGTCCAGACGTCAAAGCGGCAGCTGAGCACAGCGGTCCAGACGTCAAAGCGGCAGCTGAGCACAGCGGCCCAGGCGTCAATGCAAGGTCAGTCCTGTCCCTGTATGGACGGTATAAATTGCCCTTTGTTCATTTATGATTAAAGACTACATTTTCAGACGTCATTCATAAATGTTAGGTGTAGCAGTCCCTACAGACTGAGCTGCCACAGGGAGACATTCCGCAGCACACCACTGCAATGTTTTTAAAGATTTAAAAAACAAAACAAAAAACACACAACTGGTAAAAAACATAGTGCACACTAAACAAGTAACAGCACATCCCCCCCTTTCAAGCTCGCCATACATATCACAATCTGGATGTACAGATCCACATTTTGTTGGATCACTAAAACCTCATAAAAAGAAGATCCACCTAAACTTTTGGAGAGATCTACTCTCACTTCCTGTTGGGTCTCAAAACAGGAAGTGAAGGCAAATCACCCCAATAGGATACACATACACAAACAAAAAAAGAAACCTGACAGGGCTTTAGCCATTTCCTATTGTATCCAAAAAAAAAAGGTGGCTTTAGATAGACTTTAATCCGAGGCTGGACAAAAACAGATGCGACCTTCCTCCTCCACCAGTACTGCGCACTCTGGGCTCATTCCCACCAGCCCATCCACTAAAACGCTCTTGTGTAGCTGGCGGATTAGTGCGTTGCGGTAGCTCCGGCACTGTGCGGTGCATTATACATCGCCTGAGCTGTCACTGTTATACCGTGTTTCCCCGAAAATAAGACACTGTCAAAAAACACCTCTTGGTCTTATTTTCGGGGTAGGTCTTATTTTGTTTTTTATTTTAATATACAACAATCCACACTTATTCCTGTACAACAGCCTACGTGTATTCATGTACAAAATATGGAGATCAGGGGTGCCGTACCTTTCCAAAAGCAATTTGGTAACCAATCGCTGGCCAGAATGAGCGAAGCGCACTTTCGATTCCTCACAGGCGGAGTGCATTTGGTATGACTCCGCCTGTGACAGGAGCCTATAGAGGAGGCATCGGCTTATGCGGCTCTGCTCCCTCCGGAGCCGCCTCGCTTCCTCTAGCGCTGGCTTCATTGGCACCGCTGATTCTCTCCTGCGGCTCTTCAAGTTCCCCCTTATGCCACCACCGGCCCTGGCAATGGTCACAACTAGGTCTTATTTCGGGGTAGGTCTTATATTTTAGCAATTCCCAAAAATAGTACTAGGTCTTATTTTCGGGGAAACAGGGTATATATTATTCGAGTGGTAGTGTACAATGTGTGTACTCCATTCAGGTCCTGCACAGTGCACTGCCGAAAAATGCAGCATGCACCGCACATACCTCCTGCAGTCATACTGTCAGCATTCTTCCCTTGTACATACTGCCCGCTGACATAACATATACATTGTGCCCGTGTCATACCCGCCGCACTGCCACTCTTCTGCACATACCGCCTGCCTTCATACCCTTTATTCTCCTCCTCTACACATGCTGCCTGTTGTTGCTGTTCCTCCCCTCCCCCACCTGTACTGCCTGCAGTTGTAGCATCAGCACTTCTCTCATGTGTATACTGCTAAATGTCACACACTCTGCCCTCCTTCTACCGCACATACTACCCTACTACACACTCTGCCCTCCTTCTACCGCACATATTAACCTACTACACACTCTGCCCTCCTAACTCACTGCCCAGTAATACACTTTAGAATTGTTAGTAACATTGTCTGTTAGAGAACAAGCACACATACGCTAGTTCATATAGTTTAAACCTGGCCCGGACAAATCCCGGCAGCCAGCAGGCCAATGCTTCTGAAGAATTATAGCTGGCACCTAACTTTTCAGGTTCTCTCTAGATTTTGTAGCTCATAAAAATATCCTGGAAACAATATAAAAACAAAAAAGCGCCAAGGGCAATCACTCCTCAGAGAGATCTAGTGATGGGCATGCTGCAGGATGCTGCCCCACTACGGCAAGGGGAACTGTGGAGTCTGGAAAGAAAGCAAAAGAGAGGGCGCCTTTCCCGGTGCAGATAAATTTCATTCAGATAGTCATAACAATGAAAAAAGGTATTCACAAACTCTTTTGCTTTCTTTCCATAAAAATACCCTGCCTGCTCCTGGATTGAATAGGCCGGCTCATGAACTCCATATTAATTTGGCCATCCTGGATAAGATTCTCAGGCTGTGGTAGGACTACTACTCCCAGCATGCCCTCCAGGCTGAGGTTTCTGATGTCCAACAGCTGGCCAGGCACAGGTTGCCCGCCTTCCTAATGACTGATTGCTATAGAAGAAGGATTCCTCTGAACAGACATCGGGACTGACAGAGAAGAGGTCTATGGAGGGATCGGGTGACAACGGGCTCCGCGGAACAGAATTCCAGCTTTTTATTACATTCAGGAGATGAAACATCCGTTCCAATGACACACAATGATGTCCACCAACCTCACTCATCCTATTTATCCTGGAGGATCCCGAGAAATTATTCAGAGGACTCCGGGAACTCCTGGTGAAAATGACACCATATACTATTCTAGGTCACAGGAATATTATCAGTCAGTGCTGAACGTCTCAGATCAAAGAATAATGAACCTGGCGCACCTGGAATATCTGACACTCAGGGACGATTATTTTACTTCCTTCCCCTCTCTATACACGAGAACTACATGGATGACGACACATAGAGGGCTATTCACAAAGCTAGCCAAGGGATCAGCCGCAGCTTGGGATGATCCTTCGGCTAGCTTCGGTTTCGGGAGCCCAGTCAAACCGAAGGGCTGCTGTAGGGGCACTATAGGTCAAATGACCTGGGGACGCTGAACAGTCATTAAACAATGACAACTGGGCGGAGCTTGTTATTCATTGGCCGGGACCTGCTAGAAGACTCTAGTTGGTGCCAACAGTTGGGTGGAGCTAGCTGTCACTGCTAGCTCCGCCCAATTGTTTTTTGTAAAAAAAAAAAAAATCCTTTTTTTTTTAAATCTTTTATTTTTTTTTAGATTTAATTTTTTTTTACATTTAAATCTTTTTTTTCAACTTTTTTTTTCATTGATTTCCAATTCTGCTCTGTACCACGGAGGTATGGAGAATTGCCCCCTTACACGGGCGATCAATGGAGAATTGCCCCC